GTCTAGTTGTCATCAAACAAATCGTAGCACTTTACTCCAAATGCTCTATTCAAAAGCTCTGTCTCCCGCAGGAGCCAGACAGAGATCGCAATGGCGGCACAGCCCCAGGAAGTCGCGCTTTAAAATGACACAGCATTTTTTCTGCTACTGTTGCCGAATCAGGAAATCTCTCTACAGCACGCCACCAACAAACAGCAAAAATCTGTGTTAAACTCTCTCTCCCTTATTTTTAAGCCTTCTCAGGTTTTTTAAATGGGTTTAGTTGTCCACACGTCTGGGTGCCAACTGTAGTAATGGGGGCGGCAGCGGGGCTGCGTCCCCAACACCCCAGCTGCCTGCCCAGCTAGCTTATGCCCCGAAATAATTACACGGACACTGTATTCTTTTAAACACTGCTTGGCCCTTTAGCCCTAGCCCTTACTGGCTAATTCTGTTATCCCAATCAACCCATCTCTAATAATCGGTGAGCACCGGTCTTACTGGGAAAGGTTCAGCATGTCTAACCTGGCGGCTTGCTTCATGGCGTGTGTCTGCCCAGGAGCCAGGAGCATGGCGTCTCTGCTGAGGCATCTGCTCAGGAGAGCAGAGCTGTGGAGTCTGAGCTCACTTCCTCTTCCTTCCGGCATTTTGTTCTGTTTACTCCACCCACAGGGCCAAGCAGTTTCTTTATTGGCCAATGACCTTCCTCCATCAAAACTGTCTTGGCCCTTTAATAGGACAGAAAATTAGGTAGGCAGAGTAAACAGAACAGGATGCTGGGAAGAAGGCAGTGAGGGCAGTCGCCATAGCTCTCCTCTCTGAGATGGAAGCAGGCTAGAATCCTTCCGGGTAAGCCACAACCTTGTGGTGCTACACACATTAATAGAAATGGGTTAAGCAAGATGTGAGAATTAGCCAGTAAGAGGCTAGAGCTAATGGGCCAAGCAGTGTTTAAAAGAATACAGTTTCCATGTAATTATTTGGGGTAAAGCTAGCCGGATGGCAGGAAGCGGCCCGCCGCTCCCACTACTACACACTGTAGCAGGAACCTTTGCCTTCTTCAGTTGTAGAATAAATGCTTTCCATTTCCCCCAATTTCGTACAACATTGATGATAGGTGTGTGGTCCATGGCTTTTGAGATATTCTTCATCCAACCCTAGATTCTTCAGGATTTTTAACATGAAGGCATGATGAACTTTGCCAAGTGCCTTTTCGGCATCTTTAAGACGATCAGGTGATTTCTAATTTATATTATATTTATTGATTTGAGTATGTTGAACAACCTCAGATCCTGGGATGAAACCAACTTGAACTTAGTGTAGAACCTTTTCTTTTCCCCACCCAGAGTCTCAGTATGTAACCTGGATTTTGTCTAATAGATCAAACTGGCTTTGAACTCACAGAGTTCCACCTGCCTCTCCCTCTAGGATGCTGGAACTAAAGGCATGCATCTCTATGTCCAGCTCAGTGTAGGATCTTTTAAATGTGTTCTTGAATTTGAATTGCAGGTCTTTTCTGGAGAATTTTTGCATATATACATATACATCAGGTAAGTTAGTCTGTAGTTTTTTGTTTTATGTCTTTATTCAGGACTGATATCAGTGCTTGTCTTGGTTTTTTTGTGTGTGTGTTTTTCCCCTGCTGTGATAAAATGCTCAGACAAAGGCAACATCAGAGAGAAAGGGTTTATTCTGGCTTGTGGTTTAGGGATATAGTCTATCATAAGGAAGACCAGGGGACAGAGGTTTACAGCGCAGGTCACAAGCAGGAGAAAAGAGCAGTAAAGTTTTTATATGTATATTTCTGCTTGTGATTAAGGTATTGTGATTGCATAGTTCATTTTAAAAATAATGTACAATTAAGAAATATAGGTTAATAGATAATCATCTATAATAGTCAAGTTTGTAGTCATGTTAGTTAGATTTTCTAGATGTATAGAGATATATTTCAGTTAGATAGGTATTCTTCAAAATTTCAGAGACCTTCAGAATATGGCAACTAAAACGTTTGAAAACTTAAGACTTTTTATGACACTGAGACACATCTGCTCCTGGCAGCACCAATTACTTCAAGAGGAAGATGTGTATTGAAAAGGCTCCTTATGGAGTTGGTTGATCATTTGGCAAGAAACTGCTCTTGCCTAGACTGCTTGATAAACTGGACTTGAGGACCCGCAGAGAAATGACTGCTAAACTTGCCTGAAGGTGAGATGATCCTTTGGGGTTCCTGATTCATGAAAGAGTCTGTGAGACATTCTGCAGGACTCAGAAAAGTATGATGGACAAACTGCCAGTATAGGCAGAACTGTCTTTGAAATTTCCTGCGTCATGGAAAAAAATCTGCTGGGTACTATGGGCCTGTAGGCTGAAGATGTATGCCTTAGTGGTACAGAAGAACTTTGGGTGACTGTCCAGGTAGCGAGATGTCTCTGTCAATTCTAGAATTTTGGAAGTTGCTTGCAGTGCATTTCCTACTTACTTAGGTAATATTATATGCTTCTGGAGTCTTTGATGGAGTTGAAGAATTTATAGTTATAGTTTTCCTTGGTTATGATAAAAGATGAAGTAGATATAAATATTGTAACTGAAATTCTTGTTTGATAATTGTTTTGTTATATGTAATTTTACTATGTTAAAGATAAAGCCTTCCTTTTTGTTTAAACAGAAAAGGGGAAATGGTGTGGGAGATCCTTTCGTCTATGTGTTGTTTTTATTGGTTAATGAATAAAGAAACTGGCTTAGCCTATAGCATGTGAAGAGAAGGTCGGATTTAGAGAGAAGCCATGGAGACACTGGAGATAGACAATGGGAACTTTATCCGGTAAGACACAGCCACGGGGCAATATACAGATTAATAGAAATGGGTTAAATTATATATATATATATATATATATATATATATATATATATATATATATATGTTAAGACTTGCCTATAAGAAGCTAGAGCTAATGGCCAAGCAGTAATTCAATTACTAGAGTTTCTGTGTGATTATTTTGGGTCTAAGCTAGTCTGGCAGCCGGGAACCAACAAGCAGCCCTCTCCAACAGAAACCAGGAAGAAGGCAAGGGAATGGGCACTAGGGAAGGGGGATGAACAAGAAAAATGTACGAAGTTTATGTATGAGGATGCCATAATGTAAACCCTCTTTCATGATGACTTCAAAATTAAAAAAGTTAATTAAAAGTAACTGTCTTAATTAAGATTTCTATTGCTCATATGAAACACCATGACCAAAAACCAAGTTGGGGAGGAAAGTGTTTATTAGACTTAGACTCAGCATTGCTGTTCATCACCCAAGGAAAGCAGAACAGGAAGTCAAACAGGGCAGGATCCTGGAGGCAGGAGCTGATGCAGAGTCCACGGAGGAGTGCTGCTTACTGACTTGCTCTGCAGGGCTTGTTCAGTCTGCTTTTGTGTGGAACCTAGGACCACCAGCCCAGGGACGGTCCCACCCACCATGGGCTGGGCCTTCCCCTCTTGATCCCTGTAGTAGTTTGAATGTAATTGGCCCTTATAAGCTCATAGGGAATAGCATTATGGGAGATGTGGCTTTGTTGGAATAGGTATGCCCTCGTTGGAGGAAGTGTGTCATTGTGGAGGTAGACTTTGAGGTCTCATATATGCTCAAGTATCTCAGTATCTCAGACTACTTCCTGTTGCCTACAGGATCAAGATGTAGCTCCTTCTTCACTCTCAGCTCCTTTTCTAGCACCATGTTGGCCTACAAACCTCCATGGCCTGCCATGATGATAATGGACCAAACCTCTTAAACCATAAGCCACCCAATTAAATGTTTTCCTTGATGAGAGATTCCATGGTCATGGTGTCTCTTCACAGCCCTAGAAACCCCAAGACAATCACTAATTGTGAAAATGCCTTACAGCTGGATCCCATCAAGGCATTTATCCAGGTGAGGTTCCTTCCTCTGGGTTGCCTCTAGCTTGTATCAAGATGACATGAAACCAGCCAGGAAAGTAACACACCTAAGCAGAAAAATCTTAGGACGTATTTCATCATAGTGAAGCTTTTGGCTTGGTTTTCAGTTGGCGTTTTAGCTTGAGGTGTTAGACTACCACATCTTCTATGTTAGAGTAGCGTTCTGTGTTTATGGACCTATGTCTCCTAACCAAAATCCAGGTTTTTTTCTTTCCTAAAATTTATTACATGCATTGTACCCTTACATACCAAATTAAAAACAAAACCAAAAAAGCGCATAGGATTACAGAAATAATTGTGGTTGTGGTAATTAAGAAGGATCAATTGGCCTAGAGAGCTTCAGTTTTGGAGAAAGAATTTTAGCAGGAACTTGAAAGTTTGTCTAGGCAGGGAAAAAAGTAGAGTGGATAGGCAATCCAAGAAAGTATTTTCCGGGGATTCGAAACCTGGTTGGGTCTGGCCATCCTGCCTAGGGGAAGGAGGCCTCTCACCTTCCCATGGTGAGAACCTGAACAGCAGGGAGGCCACAGAAGAGTTTCTTTCTCTCCTGCCCTTGGGCTCCTTCCACTGCCAGGTTGCTTTGAGACATAAGTGCAGAGGTGGCAGTGGGGGGTGGTGGAGGAGGCTGGGCTTTTGTTTCTTGGATCCTCTTTTCCTTTTTACACACATCATATTGGTTTCTTGGTGTGGGTTGGGGGCAGCTCCTCTTTTCTTGGGTGGGTGTTAGCACAGTACAAGAAAGATAAGAACTCCTGCAGGAACCGACCCAGATCAAATCCCTGGAGGGGAGAGTCAAGCAGCTCTGAAGAACTGGGGGTGGGGGGAGGCAGAAGTAAAAGGAGATCAGAGTGCAGGCAAGCTGTATCTGTCCTCCTACCAGGGCGCGAGCGGGGGTGGGGTGGGTGGGGGGGTGGGGTGGGTGGGGGGTGGGGGGGTGGGGGGGTGGGGGGTGGGGGGTGGGGGGTGGGGGGGTGGGGGGGGCTGGGCCCCCCTTTGTGACGTGAGTGCCCCAGAGCTCCACACTTTGTAAGTCCTGAGGCCAGATCACAGTAGTTGGCCCCTCAATGGGGGAAGAGGGTCCCATGGCTGAGGGGGCCCAGCCCAGAGGGGAAACCCAAGGCGCAGAAATTACGATCCAGATTCAGCAGCCAACAGAGAGAAACCCGAGGACACCGGCCAGGCGGGACCCACACTCAGTGCTCAGGGTGTCCCAGCTACTGCTCAGGGCCATCGCTGGCCACCGGAGGCTGACTCTGGCAGAGCTCAAGAAGGAGCTGGGAAATGCTGGCTATGAAGTGAGCCGGAAGATCAACTGCCACGACAGGTCTGAGAGGGGTACGCTTCTGAGGGTCAGTGGCAGCAATGCTGCAGGCTACTTCAGGGTCTGGAAGGTTACAAAACCGAGGAGAAAAGTGGGACAGTCCGGGCTGGTGATGGGCCGCTGCTCTTCAAGGAAGACCCTGCCCCAATCCCGATCTCGAGCCCCGAGACCACGCAGACCCCGATCGCGTCGCAAGGCAGCCAAGAAGGCCAGAGAATGCTGGAGACACAATTCTAGGACTTTGAAGGCAAAGTCCAGGATAACCAGATCAATGGTTAGGACAAGAGTCAGGTCAAGGGCAAGGTCAAGGGCAAGGTCTAGAGTTATGGACCACGTGTGTGCCAGGGCCCAGGAACAGGCTTGTGCCAGGGGCAAGGAACAGGCTTGTGCCAGGACCAGGACACAGGAGTGTGTCCAGGACCGGGAGCAGGAGTGCACAAACACCAGAGAAGAGGCCCATATGGGAACCAGGATGCAAACCAGGGCCAGGGCCAGGGCAATGGACAACATCAGAGCAGGACCTTCAAGAGAAGACGGCAGGTCTCGATCTAAAAATGAGAGCCGGCCAAACTCGAAATCCAGGGACAAGAAGAGGCAGGAACCTGAGAGGGTGGTAAAACGAACCATCCAGAAACCAGCTGTGGCTATAGTTAACAGTGTTTCCAACCTACAAGGAAAAGCACGCACCAAGGCTTCTGCGAAAAGCAACAGTCCTGGGTGCTCGAGGAATCCTTAATGCCGAAGCTGTTTTCTGGGCGCTGTTTCCTTTCCAGACAGGCTCCAAGGAGAGTAACTCTCTTTCATTGAAGCTATTTACAAGACCTTCCTGTGTCTGTGTTTCCTCTTGCTCGCCACTGGAAGGGAAAAGGGTGGGTGTGGAGGTGAGATCTAGAGCAGGGGCTTGGAAGGGGAGGGGAGGGGGAATTGAGACTCTGCTATTCCCACGGGACCTTTCATAAAGAAAGGAAATAGGAAGAGAGAAATCACTAGGGCTACACAACAATGCCCGCCAGGAGCACCATCAAATCCTCAATGAGTCTTTGAGAGGAGGACAAGAGAAGAATAACCTCTGAATAATTCAGACATGATCTTTAATTTTAGGGTAAAACTTGATTAGAGTGAATTTGTAGCTTTTATCCTGAATTACAGTATTTTATATACAGTATATAAAACCTTGGATGCGAATGCAAGGTTAAATGAGGTGGAGGGTGAAAGCATTCAGCATGGGGTGTGGCACAGCGTAGGCGTTCGGGACAAGCGTGTGTAACTAGTGTAAGTGTGTGTAAGTGGTTTTCGATGGGGCGCTGGTGTCCGCAGAGAAGGACCGGATGGCGACTTAGAACACTCCAGGTTCCAGTCAGAGCTCTGCTCTTCTGACCTTAGCCATGCCTTTCACCTAAGCACCTGTGGTCTTGAATTGTTTCTTTGTAAAATATTGGGATTGTTACACAGTGTCAGGGGGGTGAAAAAGGACTAAACCTCATAGTGAGGACTGGATGTAGGGAAATTCAGCAGAGGGGAATTGAGAGCTGGGAAAGTGTGAATCTCAGAGGGGAAATTGCTAATATTGACAACACGCTTATGAGAGGTGCAGGCAAGACAGAGGCCAGAAGGAACACTTCGCTCGTGCACTTTTCTAGAACAAGTCTACTCTGGGCGCAGTGAGCCTAGAGTGAGCATAGTATGTTTTAGCTCTGCATGCGAGGGTGATGGGTAGCAGGAGCCATTCTCTTGCCACAGCTGTGACTCTAACTTCCTGGATAAGGAAGGTGTTAAGACACAGACAGTCTGCCTCCACGTGAAGCCAGATAAGTGAGAGAAGGGATGCTGCTGGGGTTTTTTATTCTTGAAAAAAAGGTCATAGTGGACATGGGCGCTTTCTCCAGCTGTATAGCTGGCTGTGATTTTCCCAGGAGAAACTTCATCTTCCACAAGGGAAAATTCAATCAGTATGCACTCATGTTATGTTTTCTTGTTTGTTTGTTTGTTTGTTTGTTTTGGTTTTTTCAAGACAGGGTTTCTCTGTAGCTTTGGTGCCAATCCCAGAACTAGCTCTTGTAGACCAGGCTGGCCTCGAACTCCCAGAGATCCGCCTGCCTCTGCCTCCCGAGTGCTGGGATTTTTAGGCGTGCGCCACCACCGCCCGGCTACACTCATGTCATGTATAGGAAAGCACGCTACTGTGAACTTCCTTTCGTGCACAGGAATGACCATGTTAAATTCACCAAAGCCAAATCAGAAAAGCACTGGCCGCGTGTCTCCCGTGCATGTGATCTGAAGTGTGAACCCCCACATCTGCAGTTCTGAGCACTTGAATGTGAATGGCCAAGTGAAGCAACGGGAGTGAGAATAGGGTCGATCTGGAGGGAGGAACATTGTCTACTGGACACACAGCAAAACTAAAAGCCCTTATGGCTGGAGGTTACGGCATACACTTCTAGTCCTGGGTTTTAAACCCCCCAAATACAGATCTTGAATCATTTCTACCTACAATAACCTGTTAATGACTCTGGTCACTCATCTATTTTTCCTAGAATCCACCACACTTCTATTATTACTGTTTAAGCAAAATTCCATTCAGTACAACTTAATCAACCTTATATTACCTTGATCAGAACCAGTAGCAAATAGGAGATCCAAACCCTCAGCCTGTCTGGACTAAGATGATTATTCCATTTATTTTCATTGATGAACTCTGGAGTAACTGTTTTAGGGAAATACAGGAACTCATGAACTCAATTCGGGCTGCCCAGCTCATTGGGCTATCTGAGTGCTCTACCAAAGGACTTCCTCCAAATAGCTAATTATATCCCTCAATCCAGTCATTAATGCAATACTCTGGGTCCTATCCTGAGAACACTAAAATGAATAAGTCATAATCTCCATTTTTTAATATACATTGCACGGAAACTTTTGGTTATTTTAATCAGAACAAGGAAGTAAATGTCTTTATCCTCAATTCTTGGCTTTCCTCTTAACTCGCTTGTTTAATACAATGATAATCAGATTATTATTGGGAGTAGCATTGTAGTGAACATTTATGTGAAGCTATTCCTGGGGAGACAAGAACAAATATCTGTTTACCCCAGATAAAAAATCATGACAGATCAAAGTGAGGCTACAACCTCAGTCCAACTTGGTGAATCAATGAGTTTTATTGAGGCTACAATAATATGGGTGATGGAGGAAGGTCATTGGTTAAATAAAAAGAAACTGCTTGGCCCTCATTGGTTAGAAGATAGGTGGGAGGAGTAAACAGAACAGAATGCTGGGAGGAAGAGCAAGTGAGCTCAGACTCCCCAGCTCTCCTCTCGGGAGCAGACGCCTCAGGGAGACACCATGCTCCCAGCTCCCAGGCAGACACACGCGATGAAGCTCCGACCCAGGATGGACATAGGTAGAATCTTCCCGGTAAGCGCACCTAGGGGCGCTACACAGATGATTAGAAATGGGCTAAATTAATATGTGAGAATTAGCCTAGAAGAGGCTAGATAGAAATGGGCCAAGCAGTGATTAAATGAATACAGTTTGTGTGTTGTTATTTCGGGCATAAGCTAGCCAGGCAGCCGGGGTGCTGAGGACACAGCCCCGCCACCCTTGTTACTACATATGGGTGAGAGGTTAATGACAGGAGCAGAAATGACTCAAAGACAGCTGTATCATTCCCAGCCCTGTAAGACCACTCACGGCACTGTGTAAGACCACTCACAGCCCTGTGTAAGACCACTCACGGCACTGTGTACGACCACTGCTTGCTCTCTGACTTCCCTCTCTGAGGGCTTTGTTAACTCTTGTGGCAGACCCGTTCCCTTCTCCCTATAGACACTTCCAGACCTTTACTCTCTTAGTCCAAGCCCATTCCTTTACGCCAGCCCCAAATATCTAGAAACACATTCTACAGGAACCCCCAGGAACCCTAGTGGCAGGGACTCAGAAGTACTCCCTATGAGACAACCCATAGTCACCACAGTTTCCTCAGATCCAGAGCAGGTGACAGAACCAAGTAACAGAGCCCTCGACCCTACAAAGACCATATATCAACACCTACAATCATGGATATCCACAAATCTAGAAACCTAGATGCCACTGAGAAACCACACCCACACCACCCTAACCTATAAGCCTCCGCCAGAGTCCAGCAACTCTCCTACAGAAAAGTTCCTGAAAAGCAAGACAGCTGAAGCACAAGCCAAGCCTTCAAACAGCTATTATGAATACGCTTAAAAACCACAAAGAGGAGATCAATCAACCCCTTAATAAAGTCTGTGAAAGCATAAACAGTGGAAGGAAGTGAATGAAACAGTTGAGTGTCTGAAATTAAAATTAAAGAAAACCCAAATTGAGGTAAAACTGGAGATTAAAATTTTAGGACGTGAAACAAAGTCTGTCTCACCAACAGAATACGAGACATATGTTTTAGAGTTTCTGTTGCGATGAAGAGACATCATGACTATGGTAACTCTTATAAAAAAATTATTGTTGTGTCTTCATCACGATGGGACATGGCAGCATGCAGGCAGACGTGGTGCTGGAGGAGCTGAGAGTTTTACATCTTGATATATGGGTAACAGGAAGTGGCCTGAGATACTGGGCATGACTTGACCATATATGAAACCTCAAAGCCCACCCTCACAGTGACACACTTCCTCCAACAACAAAGCCACACCTCCTGTTAGTCCCACTTTCTATGAGCTTATGAGGACAATTGCGTTCACACTACTACAACATACAAGAGAAAAATCTTAGGGATTGAGCACAAGATAGAAAAGATAGATTCCTTAGTCAAAGAAAATGTTAAATTTTTTTAAAAAAACAAACAGGCACAAAGCATTCAGGAAATCTGAGATACTGTGAAAAGACTAAGTCTAAGAATAACAGGAATTGAGGACCTAGAAATCCAGGCCAAAGGCACAGAAAATATGTTCAACAAAATCAATGAAGAAAATTTCTCTGACCTAAAGGAGAAAATCCCTACCAAGGTATAAGAAGCATAATTAGCACCAAAAAGACCAGACTAGAAAATAAATTTTCACAACATATAATTAGAACACTAACCACATAAGAGAAAGAAAATTTAAAAGCTGCAAGAGAAACACCCAAGAAAACATAGGAATAAATAATCCCATGACAGCAAATCAAAAGACATGGGGAGGGAACCCCACACCATAAAAAAAAACTAACAGGAGTCAGCAAACACTGCTCCTTGAGGACTCTCAGTGCAGATGGTCTCAATTCCTCAATAGGAAAGACACAGACTAACAGGCTGGGTTATGTAAAGCTATAATTGAGAACAGCGTGTATCGTTCTTTTTCCTGTTTGTGTTCATAGTCCGATTTTGTGTTTCAGTAAATATAGCTTCATTTTTTTTTTTTTTTGATTTTTCGAGACAGGGTTTCTCCGTAGCTTTTGGTTCCTGTCCTGGAACTAGCTCTTGTAGACCAGGCTGGCCTCGAACTCCCAGAGATCCGCCTGCCTCTGCCTCCCGAGTGCTGGGATTAAAGGCGTGCGCCACCACCGCCCGGCAGCTTCATTTTTTTTTTTTATTTGACCTTTTTGCTGTGTTTATTCCTCTCTTCAGTCTGCAGTAATCTGGTATTCTCTGTAAGTCAGAAAGAACGTGTGTGTGTGCGTGCGTGATTGTGTTTGTGTGTGCATGTGTATGTTGTGTGTGTTCTCATAAAATGTTTTTCTTTATGCTTCAACCAAAGCAGATAGCTTTGCTAAGTAAAGTGGTCTGGGTTGGCATTTGTGGCTTGATTTTAGATCTTGGAGTACATTGCCTCAATCTCTTCTGGCTTTTAATTACAAAAGTTCCCATTGGGACTTGGCTGCCATCAGAAGGTGTTGCCCAGATTAAAGGGGGGATCTTCCTACTCAAAAGATCTGAATTAAAAGCAGATGTTTGTCTTACTTCAGATGATTTACTTAAGAACAAAAATGTTAGCAATGTACCCGGCCACTTGGGCTTTAGAGTTGATTCCAGATGTAGTCAAGATGACAACTAAGAAGAGCCATCACAGCATGGCTTGTGTCTTTTCTCTTGAAGCTGTCAATATCCCCTCACTGCTGTGTGGATTTAGTGTTTTCACTAAGCTTTCTTCTCTGGTCTGGTCTATTAGGTGTTCTGCGTACCTTTGGCATCTAACCACTGTGTCTTTCTATAATCTCCTTCCTTATATTGTTTCTGTGTTGGTGAAGGTTACATGTCTAGAACCCACTTCCACACTATTTGAATGTCAAGGGTCTCAAATTAGCAAATTTCTCCTCCTCTCACTTCTGGGGAACTCCAACATGGCAAGCTATCTGGTTGAGCTGACTCTCATTAAAGCCAAAAGGCAAGCACCCAGAAACATGAAAACTTGCAGTCTGAGGATTTAATATAGGGACAACACAACAAGATCCAAAGAAGAGAATTTAAAACCTGAAGTGGTGTGAGCATGAAAGCTTGGACGGAGTAGACAGCATGTCAGAATTTCAAGTATTTGTTGAAGCTAGTTGCAGACAGGGTTGCGCCCAATGAATTCAGGATCACAATGGCTGTCCTTCCTTTTTTCTCAATTCCCTAATTTCTATCTGTGTCCTTTTTTCCCCTTGTGGTGGTAAAGACCAGATTTGTTGAAAAGGTTTTCTCAAGTGGTTGAGGGGAAGTAAGAGTGAACACAAGGAGACATGAATCAGCCTGAGAAACCCTCAGAGACATCTGTAGCACCACCCTTCAGCAGGGTCCCCTAGGCTTCTTTCATTGTACGGGGTTCCTACGGCCCTGTGCTACACTCATGAGGTAAAGAGGTTCTTCCTGCAGGGCCACGGGCTTGTTCTCAACAGATCAGTGGGTCAGCCGTCAGCCTCTATGGCCCTTGTCTCATCCCTTTCAAAGCAACCCCAGAGCCAGCTTTCTCTGTGTCTTAACTCCACCTGAGCCAGCTTCAAGCTTCTTTTAGCTTCCCCTAAATACCTAGCTTCTGTGAACTTGCCTTGAGGTCAGTTGGAGGAGGTCATCACCACCTGGGCCTCCATACTCCAGGCCCTTGCAGAGTGGCCCTGAGACTGGTGGAGAACTGGGGAGGGGAGTGTCCAAGGTCTGTCCTCATTCAAGGGCCCCACCCTCTCCATGCAGCACTGCAGTGCCCTCTAAAGCTGATCTCTGACCCAGCAAAACTGGGAGGTGGGTAATCTGAGGGGACTTGTTACTGAGGCAGGATTTGGAGGGGCAACTGGGGGCTGGTCAAGATTGAGGCACAACCTGCCTTTCACCCCACAAACTCACCCATTAGCAATACTCTGTCATGGCCTTAAAAAAATCTGGAGAGATGAACAGGGAATAGAAATTTAGAATATGGCAATTTAGGTCATCCTTGTAGGGCTTCCTGCCTACCCCAGTTGAGCCAAAAATTTAGGGGAAGGAATGGAAAGAACGGGTTGACCTCAGCATGGGAGAGTTAAAGATGAAACTCGGCAGTGGGCAGAGGAACAGATGGGATCACAATGGAGTGGAATTCATCAGAAACTTGAGAAAGAAACTAGGTTCTCAGAGACAGAAATAGGGCAGAATAGATACCTTTGGAAAGGGGTGAGATTGCTCAAAACCCAGATAAAAGTGAGGAAGGAACAGGAAGTGTGTCACTTATGGGGAAGCAGAAGTGGTGGCAGCGCCTGAGCTGTGGACTCAAGCGGTTGTTTTGTTTGCAGTGTAAAACAATGAGATATTGAAATCTCCAGTCCCAATCGATTACAGGAACTTGACGTTACAGATATTGGTGGCCAACGCTAGTCCGTCGGGGACAAGGAAAGAAAGTAGGGGACAGGACCCAGGATGGGCCTCCTGAGTGTGATGTTCCACTTAGAGGGTGAAGCAGCATCGTTGCTTGGATGAAATCTGAGTTCAGCCAGTGGTCCTCAATTCTGGAGGGCATGCTTTAAAAAACATCATTGGGGTCAAAGGCCACACTCTTAGAAACACAGTGTGGTAGAGCACACAGAGAATGATGGGATCTTTTCAGCTCAGTTTCACCCACCCCTGTTCAGTGTGATTGGCGGAAGAGGGACAGAAGGAACCTCTAGGTGTGGGGCAGGGCTCACACTGCCCTTGGTGGAGACAGGAAACAGTGGTTTCCTTGTAGGAGTGTTGGGACGGGAGAAGTTTTGTCCCAAACCATGGCCCCCATACCTCCCCTGAAAGCATAGCATCTCTCTAGAATACAAAGCACCTTGAGAAAGCAATACCCTCTGGGCTACCGAGTTCTGTGTAAGGCTTCTCTAGGAGAATGAAAGGGGCGGATAACCAGAATAATGAAGACATACCATAAACAGGGATGCACAATGGGCTCCTCCCTATAGACCACCCTATTTACAATTTTCTAGAGAGAACACCGGTACATTTTATTTAAAGGGGCCAGTGCAGGGCTCTGGAAAGGTGACTTGACATTTAAGAGCACTTGTTGCTCTTGCAGAGCACAGGGATTCCATTCCCAGCACCCACATGGTGGATCACAATCGTCCATAATGACAGTTCTGGGAGATCCATTGCCCATGTCTGACCTCTGAGAGCATCAGACACACATAGTGCATATACATCCATTCAGGCAAAACACTCATACACACAAAACTTCAAAAAGTTAAAGGGATAGTGTGGTCATGAGGTACAGAGTTGAGAAGGTGAAAGCTTGAAGCTGTGGAAAGTTTCCTGTGGGGGGGAAAGGGACCTATTCATTCATTTAATGGCTGTTGCTTGTTTTATTATTTGTGCACAGGCAGTGGTATTGGACCGAGGTAGGCCAGATGAGGAAATGAGCCAAAGGGCTGTTCCTTTTGCACAAAGCCCTTGGACTCTACCTGCCTGTCAGCGGGGTGCTGTAGGTGCACCTACACTTTGGGGGCTCCACTTCCTATCCCTGCAATGACTAGGAGAGAGAAAAGGCTGGAGGTTAAGTGTGGCCATCACCAGGCATAATTTGATAAGATGGAAGGTAACTTCCGCATGCCCTTAAAGACAGCTGTGCAAGCTGAGCTGTGAGTGTGCCCGTGTCCCTATGGACAGAGGATGGTGTAAGCAGATTCCAGTATTGTGATCCAGCCCTGTCCTCATCTCTGGACAGCTTTAGGATTTTAATCCTTAAAATATGTCCTGAATCTTGCCTTGTACTTCTTGACGCGGGGATCTATACAACAACCATGAGTCAGGCAGGAATAAATTCCTTCTGGTTTTTAGACAGAATCTCATTACATAGCTGTTGCTAACCCAGAAGTCAGGGATCCATCCTCCTGCCTCCCAAGCGCTGGGATTACAGGTGTGAGATACCACAATGAGCCTTTGAAACATGTTCTCCTACAAAGGGCGTTACCCAGAACTGACTTAAGTGGGAGATTTTTCTGTTTCTCAACACTGACTCCAGACTGACCTTGTTCCTGGGGCCTAGGGTAAGGTCTGCTCGCAAAGGGCTGTCTGCTTTTGCTGAATTCATCAGAACACAAGACAAATGCATTCCGGCTCTAGAAGGAAGGCTAGTCTCAGCAGCAGGAGGGAGTTGATGTGAGGATGCTTACTTAACCAGGAGGCCCAGTCAGCAACATGACTCTATTTCAATTCCTCTTGAGCCCAGGGCCCAAGAGCTCTGTCTGATTCACCCAGATCTTTCTGAGCAGTACCTGCATCAACTAGATTGCTGCAAACCACTTCCTCCTACTTCTCTGGCTAATTCCAACTGTATTTGAGAAATGAATATTTTAGGGGAAACAAAAACAGCATGAAAACCTTGAAGAGAAAAATATCCACTTTTACATACTTTGCTCTTTTCCTCCCCAACTCCAAACTTCTCTTATATAGAAGATAAATTGTACGTTATAAAACTGGTTGGATTGTAAGATTAATACCACCACCAAAAAGAAAAACAGTGGCCAACTCATGAGCCAACAGACGTGAGAACATTGCAGGCGGCTAACCTTAGAGTCAAGAGTCTCGGTGTAATGTCATTTCCAGAACACAGAGGAACCCTCTCAGAGAGCTCTTTTACCCTCACCAGTGCCAGACCTAGCTACAGCCTTTTCCCCAAAAGTCCCTTTTCCTGGGAGAATGAGATGCTCGACAACAGTTCTTCCCTTTGAAGAAGCTAAGAAAATCCAACAAGAATAATGGGAGTAACTTCTGGTGCTGCTATTCCTGTCCTAATCTTGTAGCACTTAAAACAAGACAAAACTGCACTGAGCACGACCCACTGGCACCTTGCTTGAAGTCAACAAAAAATAGTCTCTTTCCATCTATGTGGGAAAAAATAATTTTCATCACAGAGATTCTGACTTAGATATACAAATCCACAAACGTCTACATCCCAAGAATTCCGGGGGAAACGTACACAACTTAAGCCACCATTGCACCGTTCTACTGAGAATCCCTTTACAAAAAAAAAACAGAAACGCATACTGTCCCCACTAGTCTTACCTTAGAACACAATCCTAGAACACCTCGTGAGTCCAGTCTGCCCTGAGCATGCTTTCCACAAAGATTCTTCACACGTACACAGACACCAAATACAAAGGGAAGGCTCTTGAGGGGAATAGTGTTTTCTTCGGCGTGGGCCTGGACTACTTGGGGTGTAAAGTCCATCCTTTAGCTTTGTAATCTGATCCTCAGCCGTGTGTGTGTGTGTGTGTGTGTGTGTGTGTGTGTGTGTGAGAGAGAGAGAGAGAGAGAGAGAGAGAGAGAGAGAGAGAATAGAATAGAATAGAAAGTGAAAGGCCACTCTATGTTTTTCAGAGGTAAGGGTGAGAGGCACGTGTAATGATGGGGAAGATGATAGACCTATACAACAATGTCTGGCCCCCATGCTTTCATAGATCAACATCGGGGTTCTGAGTGTCTGGTCACTGTTTCTTTCTTGTTTCCTCGTCGCCTTTTAACCCAGTGATGACAGAAATACATTTCACAGGGTCACCAGTTCTGTGGGAATCTGAAATAGATCCTGAGGCCAAATAAATTTAGGAAACATTGCATTAATAGACACTAATTTGACTGCAGTAGTTCTCAGGGCCCTTGATATACTGACATGGCCCCTTTCACTTTATATCCCCTCTTCAAAGGGGATATAAAATAATCAGCACACAAGGGTGATGCATGAATATTTAGACTCCAACATAGTCTCCAACCAATGAAAACGAACCTCACCCATCACTACTGGTTCCACTGTTTTCTTGGCAGTGGGTTCAAGCTGAATAATCACACACAGATTTTGCACTGTTTCCCAAAATTTTGCCCAAAGAACTCTGTTTTCGTTTGAGAAATGGTAAGAAATGCTCTGGCCATCAGGGTCCAGGAGAGGGGCATCTCTGGCAGTGGCTGCTGATAGAACCGGCTGAGAGGTTTGACCATAGCTACAGAAGAGACGGATTTCAAAAGGCAGATGTCCCTCTGTCCCATCTGCTCCCAGGACTCTGTCCCTGGTGGGTCAGCAGGTGCCTGTCCAGGTGGTGCTTGCGACCAAAGCTCTTCTCACAGCGAGGGCAATGGAAGGGCTTCTCCCCAGTATGGGTCAGCCAGTGTCTCACGAGGTGGTGCCTTCGGCCAAAGCTCTTCCCACATTCGGTGCACACATGGCACTTTGGCACCGGTGGGGCAAGCTGCTGCTGCCCATTCCCGGGACTCTCTCCGATCTCTTGGCCCTTGTAGGACTTACCCTCCGCGTGGACTCTCTGGTGGCTGGCCAGATGGGAGTTGCATCGAAAATTCTTGCCACACTCAGAACACCTGCTTGGCTTGTCACGTAGATGGGTTTTCTGGTGCCTAATCAGGTGATGCCTTCTCCCGAAGCTTTTCTCACACTTGAGGCAGCTGTAGGGCCTTTCCCCAGTGTGTGTTTGCTGATGCCTGGTGAGATGGGAGCCCCACACAAACCGTTTCCCACACTGAGGGCACGTATGGGGCTTTAAGAGAGTGTCCATCTCAGCACTACCCAGAAGGCTTGAGAAGATGTCTTCCCGAACAAAGGGTGGGCTTAGGAGCATGTCTCTGGGGCCCCTAGGCATGGACTCCCAGCTCTGAGCCTGGCCTGGATTCCAGGGAACAGTTTCTTCAGATACACCGGATAACACCCTGGGAGCTTCCGGCTCCATTTCAGGAGTGTCACCTTCATGCTCGCTCCCATCTCCTATGGGGAAGGAAGAATAGCACTCTTAGAAGGAGAACTCGAAGATGCTATCCCAGCACTCAGTCCCAGGGAAAGTTGTATGGTGCCAAATGTTATCCCAGAGGGGCTGGAAGAGCACGTGTGAAATCACAAGGTTGTGCAGTCGCTACAGGGATGTTCAAGAGCCTAGTCTTGAAGAGAAATGAGTCAAGTTTTCATCTGAGACTCTTTACCTTGTAAGTCTTCATTTCGTTCATAAAACAGGAACGCCCCCCGTGTGTGTGTGTGTGTGTGTGTGTGTGTGTGTGTGTGTGTGTGTTTCTCTCTCTCCCAGTAAGACTAGAATCCGTCTTTTCAGGATAATTATATCCACTCTTGATCTACACTCAGTAAGTGATAAATACTCTCATTATTATTTTTCTACCATCATTATGTATTTACTACCGTTCATCGCTACCAGCCCCATCTTCACACCTCCATCTGGACAGAGAGGGAAGGAATGAGCTATAGTCGTCGCTGGTTAAGTCACCAGCTGTCAGCATCAGTAGATTCATTCAGAAGACATCTATCTCTGCAGTGACATGGACGCTGACCTACAGCATCAATAACGACTCTTATCAGATGACTATTACGTTTTGATGCTCTTCTGCAAACACGTTAGCATAGCTAGCTGTAGTAACTTAGAAACGAGGTCTCACAGGTATGACCTATGATCCAAGCCCACACAGCCTGACTTCAGGGTCTGCCTTGCATGCCTTCTGCACCGCAGCCTTGCTTTTGGAAATGTAAGAATTCTGAGCTTTTTGCTTAGTGACACAGTAAAGACGACACCACAAGAGAGGGTTTCTGGGTCCTCACCTGTATATGTGACCTTCAGGATATCTCTCCCTTCTAAGTCCTGGGGGTCAGGTACCCACTGCTCTCCTCCTCCGTCTGGCTGAGAAAGCATGTCCAGTTTGGGAATCGGAAACCCTGCACACGAGAAAAGGAAACAGACACACACCAGCTTATTTCAACAGCAATTCTATATTAATGAACAAAACCGTTCCCTAGATTCCTCCTTGGGATGCCAGGACTGAAGAGTTGGACAGAAGCCTCCAGTCACTTCTGTTAGTCCCTCTTTCTTTTTCTAGAAAACCACAAGCTCTTTCCCAAGGAACCAGTTTGTCTTCCACTCACCTCCTCCTAAGCCATATCCTTCTGGCCATGACTGTACCTCAGATCCACTGTCAATTCCACTGCAGTACCCTTACCTTCCCATGGGGGCGCTCCAGGTCCCAGGGATCTAGCTCCAGGTGTCCCTGTCTCTGCTCTCTAAGAAGTCTCAAATTCCCAACCAAGATGAGCTTCAATTTTTCCCTCCATAATTTGCCATTATGTACAAAAAGATCCCTTGCTTCAACTTTTTCAGGCTGATCTCCAACATTCTTTCTTTGGTGGAAGTCTACCTAGACAGAGTCCCTGCCAGCGAAAGCCTCCTAGGCAGGTACTATCCAACAGCTCTCAGGTGATCCCACCCTCCCAGGAGAGCCTTTCAGGACACAGAATGTCCTGCTTACTCAGAGAGACGACAATCCCACAGTTTTCCTGCATGACATATTCTCCATAAAAGTCAGTCTGCGAGGGATCCAGGCTCCGCCACTCCTCCTGGGAGAAGCACAATGACACATCCTTGATGGTTACCAGTCCCTGAAACAAACACAGAGGTTGTCTATCAGCAGTTGCTCTGATGGAAAATACGATCTTACTATGAAGGGCTGAGATAGTCCAGGAAGGAGGGTGAGAGAGGACCCAGCTAGAGAACTGCCAACAGGTGAGTAGGCAAGACCCATAGCTTTGTAAAGAGAAAAAGCATAAAGAAATGAGATCAAGGAGTGAGTGAGGATAATTCGCTAGACGAGGTTCCCGTGTGAGACCATGAGAAGTCAGAGCCGTGACAAAGGCATCACTCCCTCTTTAACTATAGGTGTCTACTAAGTCTCCTCTTACCTCCTCATCCTTTCTTGCAGACTGTATCACAGCCTCCTTCCTCCACTCGACCTTCCCTTCTCTGTCAACACAACATGACATGAACAAAACACGCTGGCTCCCCTGGTATGCTATGATATCCCATCAGGTGCTACGGTACAGTGGGTAAGCCCAAAATCTGGAGCCAAATGACTGTTAGCTCTACTGCATCTTAGTGGTATTATCCGAATGCCTCCATCTCTCTCTGCTTCAACGTTCTCACGATAAAATAGGATGATTGCATGGCTCCCATATTACACAGCATATACAAGGTGCACAGGAGAGAATGCATGTGATAAGCTTTCTGCACGTGTTGCTATTAGCGATGCTGCTGTCTTTCCTGGCTGGTCTCTAGACTTGTGCTCTCTTCCTGCTTCTTCCTTCTCTTCTTTTTCCTAAAAGCTGTAAGATCTACACACCCCTCTGCTTTGTGCTTTCCAAGCTTTTCTCGGACCCTCTTTTCTCACTTCTTTCAGGATTTTTTCTTTTTTTTTAATTTTATTTTTGAGATAAGGGCTGACCATGCTACACAGACTGGCCCAAAATTCTTGGGCTTGGGCAACACTTGTGCCTCAGTCTCCCTAGTGACTGGAATTACTGCTGGGCACCATCATACCTGATTACAGATTTTCTTCCCCCAAAGAATTCAATTAGTTATTCTGAACTCCTCATCCCATCCCACAGATAACATTAAAAACCAATTTACATCCCTTAGAAACGGAATCTACTCGGCTATAAGCATACCTTTAGTGTTCATGGGAACTAACCAGCCAACGGGATGATGCCAAAGCTATAGAAAGGCAACTGCAGTGACCTTGGGAGAAGACAGGGTGGGGAAAGAACTCACCTGGGATCCAGCTGCAAGAAGTGCGGCTGCCATTTCCCAGTCTGCAGTGTTGCCCTCCTGAGGAACTGCTGGAGCATAGGGAGCAGACTGAGCTGATAAGGGGAGAGAGGAGCTGTTAGAGATTAAAAAAAAAAAAAAAAAAAAAAAAAAAAAACCATCTGTCCCAGCATGCACTGGGGCCCATTTTCCTTCTCAATCTATGCTCCCTGGTAAAAACTCAAATGTATACATTTAAATGTAGAGGCCTTCACTCAACTAGAAGACTAGAAGACTTATAGTGCTTCCAAAGCACCCTGTAAGGATTTAATGACATTGAATTGGAATAGTCATAGCATGAATGGATTCTTATCAAGTATCCTACATATTATTGACCGTGTTTTACAATAATCATGAGTCTCTAGCACTTCCTGTGTCTCCCACATCCAATACCATTAACTATGCACTTGCATGTAGGAGGAACGACTATGGGAGAAACAGAAGAAGCTCATTGGCACAGTTAGGGAAATGCAGGGCCCCACTGTATACTGGACAGCAGAGTACAGGAAAAAACAGGCTGGATCTGGTATTAGATGTGTCCTTCAGTCCATGGCCCTTAGAGTTAACTGTTGCTGGAGATGTAACCCAGGCTGGCCTGGAACCCTGGAACTCGTGGCAATCCTCCTACCTTAGCCTCCAAGTAATGAGATTACAAGCATCCAGCCAGGTAGGGAATATCTAACCCTACTTTTTGAGCAGAGACTAGAAGACTTGTGTCCTCACACTTCTCCTGAAGGGACAGTGGCTCCTCTTCAAGGTCACAGTGAAGGTGCTCCAGCGCCCCTGGTGCTGTTCTCCATGGGCCCTCTTCCTGGTTTCCTCTCTCCATCTGGGACTCTGCTCCATCCAGATGTACATTTGTCGACTCCCATCCTGCTCCCAGGACTACAGGCTGTTCAGAAAGCATTTCTGCGGCAAGCACAGACTGTGACCTGGAACATGCCAAAAGCAACTACAGAAGGGGGGGAAGGGCATGCCAAAGCCATTTCAGAGAAGGCTGAGGATGACAGTGAGAGGAGCCCAGCAGGAGACAAACTCACAAAGCATGATGTTGAGTCAAAACTTTTCTGGAGGAACTAAGGAACTGACCAGCGCCACACAGTCAAGGTGCTGCCATTTTGGAGACCTCGTGCTATAAAGTACATCCCTGAGGACCGCAAGAACTTCACTTAAAAATAAAAGAAAAATCCCGAAAACCCAGAGGCTATCCGTTGCATTTCTACCATCCAAAGTGCAGTGGGTGTGGGGGAAATGCAGGAAGGAATGCATTCAACAAAGATGGGAGTGAGCAGACCCAGAGATTCTATGCCACAAACTGCAACCTCATCAACTGATTTAGACGTCCCACCCAGGGGTGTGACCTGTCATGAGCACCTGTTCAGAAAGCGTCTCCTGTAAGAAAAGCCTCAGCAAAGGGACATGTGACCAGTCACTCATATGTAGGAAATGAACAGTGATACAAGCATAGCAGAAAAACCAGGATCCCGGAGCCTATAGCTGAGGTATAAATACCTAACACAGTCCTAACTGATGAGAGAAACTGCAGGTCAGTGAGGAGCTGAAGTAATTGGAGAAAGCAGAAAAGAACGGAGGTTGGACAAGATATGGAAACCAGGGAAGGTGTGTTATTAACACAAACTTTGGGGGAATCAACAGCCCCATGGTCTGAAATACAAGATACACTTGCTTGACAGGCACCAGTCACAATGCATTATATACATTCAAGAATGGTGTGGAGAAGGCAGGATTTGCTCATTGGAAGACATTCAAGTCAAGAAAGGGACAGCACACACCGTCAGTGGAAATGGACACGTTTTTTGCTTGTCAAGCACAGAAGGCTGAGCAGTCACACCAGCTGTAAACATCTGTATGTATCAAACAGAAGGAACGGGTTCTGGACCCAAGGAAGAGATTTAGGTTAGTTTTGTTGTTGTTGTTTTGTTTTTAAAGAATCAGTCCTACCAAGCATACGATCAAGTCTGCACTCCTCTTTGGACATTTATAGAACAAGACAGGTCCCATTTGAGAATGACTTTCTGCTTGGCAATCTATTTTTGTGATTCTTATACAATACCCAAATAAACAGGGTCGCCAAAAATCTCCCAAGAACGGGTCAGAATTTCAGTAGCTACTTTGGCTATCACGCGATCATTCGATACGTGAATTGAAGGCTACAGTAGACCTCAAGCGGCTTACTTTCTTGTCTATTTTTCTTTGACAAAAATTTCTAAGCACAGTGTACAGGAAAAACAAATTTCTCTTTCATCTTTGAAACCCAAAGATCCTCGTGGACGCATCTTGGACTAATACCCAGTTTACGTGGTCTCTCTTTCAAGGACTTCTCATGAGAAAGGAAAAGAGTAAAGTGTACTAAGGGGAAACTTCAATTATAGCTCTCCTCTGAATTTCAGCCCCTGTGTCCGTCTCAGTTTTAAATGCGCAGGGCACCGATCGCCCTTCTTCTCCATAAGCCATCCTTGTTTCTGACTGCCTGCGCAAGTTCTCAGCACATTTCAAGTCCAGCCTAGCACCTGGACACCTGCCTCCAACCCATTTCCCTTCATGTCCTCTGCAGAAAGGTCCTCCCACGCACGGAAGCCTTTCTGAAGAGCCCACTGGGCCTGCTGGATGACGACAGAAAAACCTTTGAAAATGCTGGCAAAACCCGAGCAAAGGAAGGAGTGGATAACTGTCACCTCCCTGCATTCCCTAAGGAGATCATGGCAGAGCGAGCACCTGAGCTGCAGAATGAACCTGTTTTCTCTCCTTTCTTTCCCTAGTTCAGGATGATCCCAAGCTGGCCGGAGCATAGGTTCTTGGGCTTTCCTTCCTGTTATCTGCTTATGTACCTAGGAGGCTGGGCATCTGCAGAAAGTTTTTTCTTTCTTTCTTTCTTTCTTTCTTTCTTTCTTTTCCAGCGAGTTCTGTTGTTGGATAGAGAATGGGCCCTGGTATCAAAGAGGGGCCCAAGGGCACAGGGACGTGAGTGACTCTAGTAGCCCAGCCGCGGGTGTGGCACAGCCCGGGCCCCGAGCCTGCAGCGAGTAAGGTTTCTTCTCTCCGGATCACAGCACCCCGGGGAGGGTCAGATTTCAGAAGACTCGGGACATGACAAAACCTGAGCGAGCAAAGTGGGGCCAGAAAACAGGTTCCCTCGAGCCGAGGCTAGAGCAAGTGAGAAAAAGGGTGCCGCGGGCGTCCGCGCGAGTGACAGCAGTGGGACCGGGTACGCAGCATCGAGGCCACAGTCCCCACTGCCAGGCCGGCTCCCTTCCCCTTCGCCCGCCCGCGTCCCGGCCACACTCACCCCGGCTCGGGCCCTTGGTGCTGCCTCCCGCCTGGCGCGGCCGAGCCCGCGGCCCGCACAGCCAGCGACAGGCGACGGCGGCCAGCGCGGGGCGGGCACAGGAAATCCCGCCGCTTCCGGGGCTCCTTGGTGCGGGCGGGGGTGGGCGCGGGCGGAGGGGACAACTGGACCCGTGGTCGGGTCGCCGCAGCCCCAGGGCGCGCTGCTCCGGGGGTCCCGCCCACAGCCGGTGCCTCCGACCACCCACAGCGCCCGGTTGGCCAAGTGGGCTGGTTCCCTCTGCTTGCCCTCGCGACAGCCAAGGCCGACCAGAGAGAGCACCGAAGACAGTGGACTCCGAAGGAAGCCTTTTGGTTCCACCAAGATGGTGCTGTATGAAGGGGGCTGTGCCGCTGCATGGTCTTCGGATCTGAAGAGACATGGGTTGCCAGCGTGCACACCATATTTAGAAGATTTAATTTTTTAAAAAAAATGTAATAATTAAGCTATGTTAGTTAAATATGTTAATTTTGCACATTACAAATGTGACCTGCGTTACATTTCTTCAGGGCATTTCCACCTTAAAGCATTAAGAGGAAAGTGACTGGTGAAGACCAGAAAGGCCTACAAAACAGATAATGGTAGAACCAGCTAGTAAATGTCACAATGTTTTATCAAACATTATCAAAATCATTCTGCAAAATCTTACCGCTCAGACTTAAAGAATAAATGACTCAAAGCAGAGCGTATGCGACAGGTATTCCTTTAATAGGCATCAACTCGCTGTTAAATGTCATTCGTTGTAAATATATGTTGGAAATCAAAGAAAGAACTGTCAGGGGAGGCTTGCGTCAATGGCTATTTGCCATAAACTATAATGTGATTTGTTTTTAAAAATCTACCCTGAGCTAGGAGCGAAGGCAAGTGATTGTGTCTGAGGGAGGTTGGAGACTCAGGAAATCAGTGGAGGAGCAGAAGAGGAGGATACTAGGCTGGCATTCTACCAGCTGCTCACTGGATGTGTGGGCGTGATAGGACCAGAATGTTCAGCCTCAGCCCCCTGAGCAGGCTCAGGGCTTCTCGCTTACACACCATGGGAAGCGCTAATTAGTGTGAACTGACAACATCTCAGTGCCTGGACTGGTAAAGGGAAAGGCCTTTTCATACCGTTTGCAAAGTGCTGTGAGTTGGTTGAGACCAGGAGGAGGAGGTTCGGCTCTTTGCATTCGTGAAAGGGACCAGGCACCTCTCATCTAGTGTCTCCACGATCTCAATGACAGTTCAGCCAGAGCTCTCTTCCCTCGTCTTACTCGTAGACTCGACTACTCTAAGGCCAATTCTGGAAATATTGTACTTAATTTTCCTTGTAGCTGGAATTCATGCATCTGCTTACATGGCCACAACTAAATCTAGGGTGGCTGTGATGTGAAGTGTGGGCGCCTGATAGACTCGAAGCTCCTGATGCATGGTGGTAAACTGAACTTACCAGAACACCTAAACCAAACTTTACCTGAAAAGCCTGTTTAGGAGAAGCTGGTAAACATCGTAACAGCCAGGATGTTCGTCTTCCCCCTGGAGGTAGGGGCATTGTGAGATACCATCCTACACCCTAGAAGAAGGAAAGGAAGCGAAATAGGTTTACATCTAATGAAGTGGGACACTAATATTTTATGAACATCTGTTTTATGCCAGGACACTATTTTAAACATCACAGGGAATAAACGTTAAGATGCAATCATATTTGCTCTTGACGGTTCTATCTCTTTAACAATCAATCAGCAAATCCTGTCAAGTGTAGCTGTTACTGCTACATGAGTTCGGGGGCGTGGAGTGGAATGTTAAAAAAAGAGAGAGCCCTGCTCTGAGTTCTAATCTGGTGCACCTGTCTCTGGGACAGTGTCTTATTCTCTTTCACCCTAATTATATGGAAGCCCAACGCCATGCCGTATTATGTGGAGAACAGCAAGCAGAAGTCTCCACCTTTTAAATGTTTCTGGTAGGAGAATTTCAATACCTACTTTGGAGGTGGAGGTGTAAAAAAATAAAAAGGGCATTGCAGACAGGAAGGTGCTGATGAGTGTGCTACGGGAAGGTCACGGACATAGGCATGTCTGTCTAGAGTAGAAAAGAAATAAAATAGGAAGCTGGTAGAATGGGTCAAGGGTTTTATTTTAATTTGCTATGTCAGGTGATAGTCACTGTCACTACCCTTTTGTTTATATAGAAATGATGTCACTATCCAAGTGTTTATAACGAAATGGTGTATCTCATGGTTCTTACTATATCCTCCTTATTATTATGGTTCTTATAACTTATAACCTGATGGTCCCAGCCTGTTCTTTTGGTGAAACGCTGTTTTTAAAAACTGAATGAAGTGTCCTGCAGTAGGATTCTAATATGTGGAACACGGAGTCCCTTAACCTAACTAAGGAAGTGAACTAACTAACCCTAACCCTAACCCAAAACCTAACCCTACCGTAACATAACCCTACATTCCTTAGAATGTAGCAGTCCTTCCTGGGCACAGGGAGAGGTCTCAGACATTTAGAGTTCTCAGGAAACTTTCAAATGTCTTAAGAGGTCAGTAGTCTTTGTGCATCAGCCCTGGCTCCTCCATCTTTGTGCACTAGCCCTGGCTCCTCCATCTTTGTGCGTCAGCCCTGGCTCCTCCATCTTTGTGTGTCAGCCCTGGCTCCTCCATCTTTACACATTAATCCATAAATATTGAGCATTGGGGATTTTTACAAATTCTTGGAGCCTGCTCCTCCACCCCTCAAGCCAAAAGATTCTAGTCTAGAATAGAATCTCTGTTGAATGTCTTTTTTTTTTTTTTTTTACTTTTCAGTCTTCCTTGGCAATTCTCGTGTAAAGATAGGTAATCTTCAACCACTTCAAAGAACTGCAGAATATAGCACTTAAATAACTTAGGGTTCTGTGGATGTGAGGCACAATTGCTCCTGGCAGCACCAATCTACTCCCGAGAGAATGTTGAGCACTGAAGACACTCCACTTGGAGCTTGTTTTCTTCTTGGAAAAACTGGCCTTTGGGCAAGAAAGTACCCATGCCTCGACCACTAACAAAATACACAGTGTCTGAACTGGACAAGCAGGATACAAGAAAAAAGGCTGCCAAACCTTGCTAAGACAGGGTAAGTCTTGACAACTTTCCTGCCTTTGAAATGGCCTGTCAGTTACTGTAGGCCTTAGCCAAAGTTGGTTGCTCCAGCGTTGCAAATGAGACTTTGGGTGATTGCCCAGGTGTCCAGTTGTCTCTGTCAACTACTGCATATTTTGAAAGCTGCTTGATTGCACTTCTTGCCTACTCAAGTAATATTATCTCCCTTCTCGGGTCTTTGATAGGGTTGAAGATTAGATAGTTGTAGTTACTTTCCTCTTATAACTTAGCCAAGCCATTTCTATATAACTCTTAGACTCCTTAGGATAAAATAATTATTGAAACATTTAGCATATGTTTCTTGTTTAATATTATTTATGCTGATTGTAATTCCATTTTTTATACTTGATATATATAGTTTTGTATTGGGTTTGGAACTCTCTTATTTAGACAAAGTGGGGAGGTGATAGGGAACCTCCTTTAGTCAGTGGCCTTTGAGAGGCTGGACCAGGTCGGGCATGGCCTTGGGTACCAAAAAGGTGTGCATCTTTTTCTCTCTCTCCTCTTTTACACGGATGCTGGATTCAGTTCCTGTTCCCCATTCATGAAGAGGATTGTTATCTGTGAGTCCCCCCCTAAATAAAGAACCCCTTATTGATGGAGGAAGGTCATTGGCTAATAAAGGCACTGCCCTGGCCCATTTTATTGGTTAGAGGATAGGTGGGAGGAGAAAAACAGGACAGAACGCTGGGAGGAAGAGGAAGTGAGGTCAGAGACTCCACAGCTCTGCTCTCTCGGGAGCAGATGCCTCAGAGAGAGACGCCATGCCCCGCTCCCGGGATGAAGCTCCGACCCAGGATGGACTAGGCTAGAATCTTCCCGGTAAGACCGGTTCTCACAGATTATTAGAGATGGGTTGATCGGGATGTGAGAATTAGCCTGTAAGTGCTAGAGCTAAAGGGCCAAGCAGTGCTTAAAAGAATACAGTGTCTGTGTAATTATTTCGGGGCATAAGCTAGCCATGTGGGCGGCTGGGTGTGGGGGACGCAGCCCTGCCGCCCCATATTACTACACCTTATTATACTTAGTTCTGAGCTAGTGTGGGATTAATTTATTCACATTCTCCTTCATCCCATGGGGAGTCAACAAAGTCTGTCATAGCATTTGAGGTAGGATCAAGGCCCTCCACCCTGTATCTAGGCTGAACAAAGTATCCATCTACAGGGAATGGGCTCCAAAAGAGCCAGATCATACACTAGGGATAAATACTGGTTCCACTGCTAGTGGCCCCACAAACTGCCCATGCCACACAACTGTCACCCACGTTCAGAGGGCCTCGTTTGCTCTTATACTGGTTCCCCAACTGTCAGTCCAGGTTCAGTAAGCTCCCACTAGCTTGAGTCAGTCATTTCTGTGGGTATCCTCATCACTGGCCCCTTTGCCATAATATTGTTCTATAACTAGACACCAGGGGTTCAGCCCAGTGCTTAACTGTGGATCTCTGCATCTGCTTCCATCAGTTACTGGATGAAAATTCTATGATGACATTGTAGGGTTAGCGAGAAAGCAGGCACTAGGGAAACTCCCAGGAAACCACAAGGATGACCCTAGCTAAGAATCTAAGCAACAGTGGAGAGGGTACCTAAACTGCCCTTTCCCTGTAATCAGATTGATGACAACCTTAATTGTCATCATGTAACCTTCATCCAGCAACTGATGGAAACAGGTTTTAAACAAGAAGAATGCATGCTTTGATTTCAAACATTTTTAAACCTCTTGCAAGGCCCAGATATTATGGTTAGAATTTTGCCTTAATAATATCAATCCAGGAGAAGGGATTAGAGAAAGTTCAGTGTGGAGTGCTTGTTTAGCTTGCAAGAAGCCCTGGGCTCCATATGCAACTCTAGGAAAACAAAAACAAAAACCTAGAGAGGACAGCCTTGTTGGCTTTGTTAGGTATCTTGAAGCACTTGGTATTATTTGCCAGTGGTAGCAAGATTGAAATTTAGGCTGAGCACTGATGAGGAAA